GAGTAGGCAGGAAATTGGAGTCACCTATTTTTAAGCTAGTAAAACAACTTTTTGCTTTTCTTGTGAGTTTGAGTCTTTGGGTGTTAGTTGCTCCCAAGGAAAGGTTATTTTAAAGTTCAGCAATACCTAAAGATCCACTATGTGATTCTTGAATTGGAAGGAAAATGATCAAAGAATCACAGGAGGCAGCACATAACCACACCTCACCATTTACTAAATCCTTGCTAGACAGATGTATTGGGAGGCAATTAGAAGGGGTGGAAATGATTGCCTCACCCTCAAGAAGCTTATACTGAGAATGTAAGAAGTATTATTCCTACTCAGCTGTTTCATATCCAAGTGTTGAAAGTTTTATTTATTATTTGGTCTTTTTTGGGACAGGGTCTCATTGTAGTCCCAACTGGCCTGGAACTCACTATGTAGACCAGGTTGGCCTTGAACTCACAGAGATCTGCCTGCCTCTGCTTCTTGAGTGCTGGGACTAAAGGCATGTGCCACCACCGCCCAGCTTGTGTGAAAAATTTAAAACTGATTTATCAATGAAATGACCTTTGATAATTTACAAAAGGAGAGTTTATTTCTAAGCCTGCAGAAAATGGTCAGTATATGCAGAAAGTGTTAAGTGTGTGCCAGTGGCTAAAGACCAAGGGGAACACAGAAATTTCTTAAAATATTATTTTATTTTATATATTTTATTTTATTATTTTATGTGTATAAGTGTTTTGCCTGTATGTATACAAGTGCATCCATGAGTGTAATGCCTGAAGGCCAGAAGAGGGCATTGAATTCCCTGGAACTGGAGTTATGGGAACCCAACCCAGGTCCTCTGCAAGAGAATCCAGTGCTCTTAATCACTGAGCCATCTCTGTAGTTCCAAGAACACAGGAAGTTTGAAAGGACATTGTAGAATGGTTCCTTTGCTGGAAGAGTTCCGGTAATTGTTTTAGAAGGTCTGTGAGGTACAGCACATTACACACGAAGCTTTATAATGGATGTTAGAATGGTAGCTATGGAGCAGGCTTCTTGGACATGAATCCTGGATTTATAATATATTGTTCAGGGTAACAGTAGGTAAATGTCTAGTTTGTAGGGGGCATCCTTAGCATGGTGCATAGCAGCATGGCATAAATACTAAAAAAAAAAAAAACATTCATGATAACAATTAGCTGGCATTTAAAATTTCCAGTCAAGATGGAGAGAGGCTTCTCAGAACCCTCCAATGGTTCAAATTTTGTTAAGAATAAAATTTCAAATCCTTGCATGGAGCTATAAAGTCCTTTTCCTACTGCTCCCCCACCAACCCTCTCTTGCTACCTTTCAGTTTACTCATCTTTCTCCAACCACAGGAGTTATTCTGCAAACATGGAAGCCATGCTCCCACCTTAGACCCCTGGCTGTGGCTGGTCTTTATACCTGTAATGCTCTTTCCCTAGAACTTCATTGTTGACTTGTCCTTTACCTCCTCTGGTCATTGTTTAGATGGAATCTACTGAGTGGGGCCTTCTATCCACCATCCTCTTTAAAACAGAAGAATTTTCACCCCCCCCATGACATTCTACCTACTCCCTGCCTCCTTTTTCCATAGGAATTGCAGCCACCTTGCATACAATATCTGCTCTCCCACTGTATATGTTACACACGCTGGGATTCTGTCTTTCTTTTCTGTTGCTGTGATAAAATACTCTGATAAAAGCAACTTGATGGGAGGAAAGAGTTTATTTCAGTTCACAGCTCAAGGTTATAGTCCCTCACTGTGGGGAATTCACCATGGCAGGAGTTTGAGGCAGCTGGTCAAACTGATCCCTTGTCAACTTGATACACAAACACATCACTATTAAACCATAACCTTTCCAATTCTTATCCCCAAGATATGATGTTAATATCACACCATAAGACAGTACAACCTTAAAGGACCCACAGTCCTTCAAAAATCCAAACACTTAAAAGTCCATTAGTCTCTCTTAAAAATCTCTTAACTGGGAGCTCCTGTAAAATCCCAAACAAGTACTGTCTTATTTCAAAGGGAAGAACCAGGCACACCTAAGCAAAACCAAAGTCCAACAAAGTAGCTCGAGGCTGGACATCTGGGATTCACTCACGACCTTCTGGCCTTCAAAGGGTTCTGGCAGCCCCACCTCTCTGATTCTGCCGTCCACAGCACACACAGCTTGTCTCGAAGACACAGGCTGGCTCCATTTCACACCTGTTGCTGCCCTTGGTGGTTGTCCCATGGTCCTGGCCTCTCCAAAAAGCTGGGATCTCCACTGAAACTGAGGCTGCACACTAACCAATGGCATCTTTTTGCCTCTTGGGGTGCAAAGCCTCAGATTCTCTCCATGACCCCTTCAATCCTGGGGTCTTCACTGCAACTGAAGCTGCACCTTCACCTATGGCCTTTCCCGGCCTCTCAGAGTGTCAAGCCTCAGCTGCTCTCTGTGACCCCTTCAGATTTTCAACATCAGAACCATGCAGGAGACTCTTACACATTACCAAGTCCTGCTTCCAGCTAGAGATGGAGGCTTGGGTCCCCTCTTGACCACAGCTTCTGTGTATGGACCCTGAGGAAATGCTTCCCAGAGGATTTCACCATGGTGATGCTGGTCTCTTGTTACTTACAGCTGATTTTTCAGCCCCAGCTAACCAGCATCAATTGTCCCAGTAAAGCAAATGTTATACTTCAGGTTCTGGTCTCTTCTTAATCACAGCTGATTCTTCAGCCCCAGCCAACCAGAACCCATAGATTCTAAATTCAAAATATCACACAAACAGCCCTGATAGTCTCTGCTTGGAGTAGTCTCTGTAATGGAGCCAGGCCTGCATTGTTCACAACTCTTTCGGCATAACTGTTCCAAGCTCCACAGCAACAAACTCTGAGAACTCAGTGGTTTTTTCAGCTCAAAGTTCTGAATGGCTCCACAATCCTCCTAAAAACACCAAGGTCAGGTCTGTCACAGCAGTACCCCACTCTCGGTACCAATTTCTGTCCTAGTTTGTTTCTCCATTGCTGTGACAAAACACTCTGACCACTACCAACTTGGGGAGGAAAGGGCTTATTTGTCTTACATCTCCTGGGTCACAGTTCATCAGGGCACCCAAGGTAGGAACTCAGGGCAGGAACCTGGAGGCAGGAGCTGAAGCACAGGCCATGGAGGAACAATGCTTACTGGCTTGCTTCCCTGGTCCCTGCTCAGCCTGCTTTCTTATGCAACACAGGCCCACCTGCCCAGGAGTGGCACCACCCACAGTGGGCTAGGCCCTCCTAGATCACTCAACAATCAAGAAGATGCCCTACGGACATGGCCACAGACCAGTCCCATGGAGGAAATTTCCCAATTGAGGCTCCCTCAATCCAAGCATGTCAAGTTGACACTAAAGCTGTCCAGCATGCTACCCTATGGTAGGTCCTGTGCTTGGAACCAGCAGACTCTAGCAAGAAAGACTGAAATTTTTAAACAAGTTATGTTCAAATTCTCTTTGTCTGTCTCTGTCTCTCTCATGCTGTGTGTGTGTGTGTGTATGTGTGTGTATGTGCGTGCGTGTGCACACGTGTTCAGCACATGGATGAAATGATGTGCATGTGGAGGTCAGAGGACAATCTTGGGTGTCAGCCCTCATCTTCCACCTTGTTTGAGGTAGGGTCTCTTATTCACTGCTGTGTTTACTAGGCTAGTTGTCCCATGGGCTTCCTGGGATTCTCCTGTCTCCATTGTGCCTGGCTTTACATGGATTCTGGGAATTTGAACTTAGGTCCTCATGCTTACATGGCAAGCGCTTTACCCATTGAGCCCCTATATGTGTTATTTTGTAAGTCATGTTATTTTCTACAAATGTGGGCTCTTTCTCCAGAGCCCTGAGTTTGAAACTCATGCCTTTGCCACATTGGGGGGGGGGCTCTACTTCTGATGTTCATAATCTCTTGGAGGTAAATACTAGGGGAATTTAGTGTCTAACCTCTCTTCTCATCCCCTTTACCATTTCCTAGTTGCTCAGAAAGACTGCAGATTTTCATGGATGGTGGCAGACAGATGGTACTGGTTCTGTTGGCCTCCACCAATACATCTCATCTTGATGGTGACAAACCAAGTTGATCTTCATCTGCTGAGGTTTTGGCCTATCTGGTTTCTTCTTTCAGGGCCCAGGTGTTTGCAAAGCTCCTGGACTGACTAAGCTGGAGAAATCTTTTCCAAACACTTGTCATTGCTTCTCTCATGTCACTACTGGGTACGCCACAGGTGGGGGACCTGGCAACTGGGGTCCTACCTCTGCCGTTACTCTGGAAGCCACCTTTGCTCATGAGCTCTGCTGCTTCCCTGGATGTCCCATTGAACATCAGACTTATGACAGATGTGTGTTGTTACCTTGGGCCTCTCTCAAGGAAGTGAGACTCCAAAGTCAGTGTTGTGCTATTCACCTGGCTATTCACACACATCTTATTTCTTGGTTTATGTGGATTTTAGAAACTGTTGCTATTTGAATTATTTTCAAATACCCTTCCTATTCAACAACTTATACTCCACAAATAATTACTGTAAAGAAAGTTTTTGTTAGAAAAAGTGTCTTTTTTTATCTGTCCAAAAATAAAACCAAACCAAACTAAAACAAAACAAAAACCTGGCATTTTTTATTTGCCACCAGGAGAAGTTGTATCTGGTGGTGGTGGTGGTGGTGGTGGTGGTTAAGACCTGTAACTGAAGACCCCACTGAATGCTGGCTCTGTCCCTGGCTATCTCTGTGACCTTGGGGAGTAGGTTAACCTCTCTGCGCCTGTCTTCGTTTGTAAAATGGCAGCAATAATACTTATTTTACAGGGCTTTTTTGAGTACTAAATGAGTTGATACATATGCTTAGAACACTCTCTGGCAGAGTCGTGGGAGCGACAGTTAGGAACACAATTAATAGCTACTGGAAGTTGGGCTGGTGGTTGTAGGCCGTGTACACTGCTTGTAGCAGTGCACGGTAGAAACATGACTGCACATGAGCCTTGACCTTGGCAATTTTACCTGGTTCACTGCCGCCACTTTCTTTTACCCCCTCAGAGGTATTTAGGCTCTTGGATGCTGAAAGGAGAACGGAGTCAACTTCATCTGCTTCCTCAAGATGCTTTTCTGGAACAGAACCGAGCACAGCTTTTGGAGAGGAGCTGGAAGGTGGCCTGGGAAGGTGGGGAAGTAAGGCACGCAGATTCGGGTCTCCCACTCCCTCGGCGGCCACTGGAGGGCGCGCTGGCGCCATGTAGAGGCGTGGACGCTGCAAGTGAGGTTGCAGGCCCTAGGTGGGCGCTGGGAGGCAGCCTGAGCCTGGGATGTGTGGCCGGTCAAGAAAATCAGCACTCCAGACCCACCGGGAAACCCGGAGGCTTAGAGGTGAAGGAGGTCGGGCGTCTCTCCTTTACTGTCCACTCCCCGCAGCTCCCCTCGAGGGACAGCTGCCTGGACCGCTTTTACCGGCGCTCATTTCTGCTGCTTAAGATCTCTGTACCAACTGCCTTGCCCCACGCATTCCGCTCTGAGGCTTCACGCCAAGGCATTCCGTTGCCTAGTAACAGAGTGGTCAGGAGGCCGCGCCCACGCCAACTCTTCCTGGAGCAGGTACTAGTGGACGTGATGGCTTTCGTTTATCAAAGTACACCAATTTCCTGTGCGCTTGATAAACGGATGTTGCGCTGGGAGCCAGAGGATGTTTACCTGACTGGTTGGCATGCGTGAAAATCGTTGTTCCAATCAGGAAGTGGCGATCCTTAAGTAAAAGTTTTACATGAATACATATTTATTTGCAAAATCAGCTATTTCACAAAGAATAGAAAACCATCGGGAATTCAAATTTAAATCATAATAATTAGGAATTGACAGTCACTATGATATAATAATTTGCTGTATAATTAAATTATATAGATCTTATTTTCATGGAAGGAAACATGATTTCATGGTTTCTTTTTTTTTTTTTTTAAGACTATTCTTAGACCCTTGAATGGGATTTTTTAATTGTTATTATTTACTTAGTTTTAGGTGTATTAGTGTTTTTCTGCATGTGTGCAGTGTCTGATGAAGCCAGAAGAGGGCGTCGGATACTTAGGAACTGGAATTTCTGGCAGTTGTTACCATGTGGGTGCTGGGAGCTGAACCCAGGTCCTCTGCAAGAGCAGGAAGTACTCATAACTGCTGAGCCATCTTTCCAGTCTTCTATGCCGTTTCCTAAAGCAGTGGTCCCTAGAAGAGTCGACAGTCTTTGTGTGTGTGGTGTAGCATTGTGGAGTGTTTTAATAAATTTTAATCTTTAAACTCTAATATGTCTGTTAAACTACTACTCTAAATAAATTGAATAATTTCTGTAATATATTTTATGTAATGTTGTGCACTTCTATTTGCGATATGGTAACCATGACATATTTTGTAATAACTCTAATTCCTGTACAGTGTTTGTGGATGATGATGGCAAATGAATATTGGTTATTATACAGAAATTATCTGAGGATTTACATGAGGTGACTTGGTCACAACAGGTTGTACAGAATATAAAAATCAAATGATAGGTGCTTTCAATATCTAACTCAAACGTATAGTGTACTAACTTCAACAGAAGCTTGCTTTAAGATACCTCTTAATTCATCTCTCAGAAAGGCGGTCCTCTGGTAAGGGGAGTTTATTTTAAAAGATTTGCATTTGTTATTTATTTATTTATTTATTTATTTATTTATTTATTTGTTTGTTTGTTTATTATTGTGTGCGTGCGAGCAAGTGTGGCGGTCAGAGGACAACTTGTCCATTGTCATTTTCTCCTTTCACCATGTGGATCCTGGTGATTGAACTCAAGTTCCCAGACTTGGTGACAAGTACCTTTATTTGCCAAATCATCTTGCTGGTCAATAGTTTGTTTTAGGTGTTAGCTTTTGATTTTCAAACTTGTTCTCTTTTGAAAACTAAACAAAATGTTTTCAATGAGAACAAAAATCATTTGTCACAAAACAATCGTGATTAATACATAAAAAGCCAATCTTTAAAGCCAATAAAGTTATAATAAATTTAGAAAATGTTTTAAATCATTAAGATGTCAATGCTCTGAGTGGCATCCCCTCAGAGGCAGCCCCTTAGTTAAGGGCCTCATGGAAACAGTTGCAAATGGCAATCCTGTTATCTGGTGTTATTTTGTCTCTAAAACAATGGGGATGGGTGGTGGATACAGTTGTTTGGAGGTGCTCATACTTGTGAAATACGCAGTCTTAGTTTGATTACTCAAGGTCACTTGACACCCTTATCACCCATCACAAGCTACACTTGACACTCCCTCCACTCTGAGCTTAGTGAATAAGGTGACCTAGTGACTTGGCCTCTCTGAGTAGCAGTTTACCAATCTGCATAGCAGGAACATTGCTAGGACTAGTGAAATCCCATTAAAGGTCCTCCTCCAACAAGCAGAGCAGTGACACAAAACAGTGGAATGGGTTCTCTTCAAGCAGGTACAGCAGTTACCCGGGAGGCTGCCACCTCCTGAAGTAACGATGACTCTATTGGTATACATTATAGAGAGTTGGGTTCCCTACCATCTCTTATCCCATTCCTCTTTCCTCTTTTTCACCAAGGAAAAGAATACTTCAAATTTAGGGTGCAACTTTCCATGCATTTTTATACCTTTTATTATTATTATATGTATATGGATGAAATAGTGTAGATGATTGATATTGTGTGTTTTAAAAATTGTGTAAAATATAGGACTTGGAGCAATGGAGCTGGAATTGACCTGGAAGCTATCTCCCTGAAGGCTAGCTCTCATAGTTTTGGAAAATACTATGCAAGCTGCTAAGGGAGAACATTAATCAATAGTCCAACCCAGCTTTAAGGCCTAATAACCATAACAATGACCAGCACAGCAAACTATATTGGGGCAATAGTGGTACTTTTATCTTGGGGGTAATCAACAACTACCTAATTGGACTTAAAGTCCACTCAATAGGCGGGAACTTATATGTGATTCTGTAAACATAGTCAAATACACATGGCTAGAGTGGTCAGAGGTCTTAGAGGAAACCCTAAGGCTGTCACATCCCTAGACAAATATAATTTCTTACTATGTGCAAAATATGGATCCTTATATTTACAGACAAGTATCCTGGTCACCACTCATCAAAGAAGCTTCTTTTGAAGCAGATGGAGATTATTACAGGGTTCCACAACTGGTCACACAAAGAGAGTGTCTGTAAATTGCCCAATCCTAAGTGACACATCTACAATGCAACCTCTATATCTAAGGCTCTTGGAACATAGTGGAACAAGGGGTAGAGAGAATGCTAATGCATGTCTCAACTTTCATCAACAAAGCTCCTTCATGCACCAGAGGACCATGGACACAAAAGGACACAAATGGCCAAAGTGTAGAGAATAAGAATCTGCAGAGTGTGAGTCCTCGGACAGGACTCTTGTATTAAATTTCACCCACCCATGGCTCAGGGACCATTGCTGAAGAAAGGACAGAAAGAGTGTAAGAGCCAGGGAGGAAGTGCATGACCATATGGAAATAGAGTCTTACAGGTTCCTGGGACCTTGCTTGTATGAACTCACAGCAATGCTGACTGTTCTGGTTTGTTCTTCATAGCTATGACAAAATACTCTGACCAATACCAACTTGGGGAGGAAAGCATTTATTTGTCTTACATCTCCCAGGTCGCAGTTCATCAGGGAGCCCAAGGTAGGAACTCAGTCAGGAACCTGGAAGCAGGAGCTGGAGCACAGTCAACGGAGGAATGCTGCTTACTGGCTTGCTCCCCTGGCCCCTGCTCAGCCTGCTTTCTTATGCAACACAGGCCCACCTGCCCAGGAGTGGCACCACCCACAGTGGGCTGGGCCCTCCCACATCACTCATCAAGAAAATGCCCCTCAGACATGGCCACAGGCCAGTCCAATAGAGGCAATCCCCCAACTGAGGCTCCTTCAACCCAGGTGTGTCAAGTTGACACTAAAGCCATCTAGCACACTGACAGTATGACCCATGCAAACAGAAGCAGACACAAGACTTAGGAAAACTCAAGCAGACAAAAACCCAGCATAGAACTGTGGAAATGGGCAGCAGGCCCCAATCTTAGCCAAAGAACTGTTGGGAAGCTGATTACTGCTGGTAAGGAAGAGCTGATCTTCAAGGGAGTGTCTCTAGATAGGCTGACTAGCCCCCAGTGGATGAATTGCGCTGAGGGACATCTCGGTACACTAAGACCACAACACAAATAACAGAATGGATGAAATCCAGTAGAGGGACTATGAGAGGGTGCCAGTGGAGAAGGGGTATAAAGGTGATTAAGATGTTGTATATGAAATACACAAAAATTCAATAAAAATGTTGGGCGTGGTGGCACACACTTTTAATCCCAGCACCTGGGAGGCAGAGGCAGGTGGATCTCTGTGAGTTCAAGGCCAGCCTGGTCTACATAGTGAGTTCCAGGACAGCTGGGGATTCAGGAAGACCCTGCCTCAAAAAGATCAATATATATATATATTCAAAAAGATGGAAAAAATTGTGTAAATACTATCATAATTTGTGTTTATCCTATAACCTTCTCTTTTTCATTAACATTTAAAAATTCTATTTGCATTTAAAAATTCAATATATAATTCAGTTGGGCTTTACATATCTTTCAGGTAATTTAATGTATTTATGTTTTATATTTCCATTTTTTAAAAATCTGAAAAATGGGCTGGTGGGATTGCTCAGTGGGTAAAAGCACTTGCATAAGCCCAAAGACTTGAGTTTGATCCTCTGAAACTATGTGAAGTTGGAAGGAGAGAAACTACTCTATAAAGCTGACCTTCACAATGCTCTGTAGCATGCACACACCCATATATATGCACTACACACACACCACTACATCTGTTAATAAAGTTTAAAAAGAATTCTGAAGTGTTCATCAACATACAATAAAGATAGGAAAACTTACAGTACATACCTCCTTTTCTCCTGAAGTGTGTGTGTGTGTGTGTGTGTGTGTGTGTGTGTGTGTCTGTTTGTGTGTGGTATATGCATGTGTATGTATTTGTGTGTGTGTACTGGTGCATATGCATTTGTGTGTACATGCATGTGGAGGCCAGAGATCTATGTTGTGTATCTCCCTGAACTGATCTTTACCTTATTTAAAAAAAACTATTATTTTTATTTTATGTGTATGAGTGTATTGCCTGCATGTATGTAAGTGCACCCATGTTGTGTAATTCCCATGGAGATCAGAAGAGGGTGAAGGATTGCCCTAGAAC